CTGAATCTGCTTCGAGATGGAGACGAGAAACTAACGATGAAGAGACGAACGAGTGGCTAGCTCCGCTATCTACGAGAATTCTTTACAGGAACTCCGCGAAGCTTCCCTAGAAGCACGACTGGACGATCAACAGTGTCTACCTCGTTCTCCGTAGATGACTGCTACAAAGCCGTCTCCTCTACGTTGGTAGACGTGGCGGGTACGGGAACCTCCACACCAGCTAGCGACCCGCTATCTACTGGCGGTTTCCGTTTCCCTGCTGCCGCTCCTTAAGCTGTGGGCAGTCTCGCTTCATGTGTCCCGGCTTTTTGCAGTAGTGACAGTTCCCCCTAAATCCCATTTTCTGTGAGCCGTCACTGTTAACTGCACCAATCTCCATGGGCGATGGTCCGTCCCTCGATCGAGCGTCGTTGATCGGTCTGATGTATCCCCTATCGCGATCGTCACGACCCCGTCGGCTTCATACTGCGCTGACGCGTTCTGCTGCTGCGACTACCGACTCGAAGGTGGACAACCCGTGAATCGCAATGACTTCCGCTATGTCCGGCTTCAACCCTTCGAGGTAGCGATCGCGCATCTCTGCTTCCGTGATATCGTCTATCTCGTTGCAGATGCTCAAGAACCGTCGTGTGTACTCCTGGACGTTGCCTATCTGTCGGAAATGACGCAGACGCTTCCTAGCAGCTTCGGAGGCGTTCACCAAATCGAACCTACTTTTCAGCGCCGCTTCAAATCCTTCCCATGTGGTCGGAACCGTGGTAACACCCAAAGCTAAACTCCCTAAGCTCGAAGTTGCAGCTGCATGCCCCACGCCCTGTTGATGCCCGTCCGTCTGAGCCCTTCTTACAGCAGTTTGAGTGAGTTGGCGCCACCACTCCAAGGCCGGGCCCCTCAGCAGTGTAACAGCGTACTCGATCCGCTGCTGCGCGTCCGCCTCTTGCACCCCGCTCGCGGCGAAGTAGTTGTTCAGCATGAAGAGCCACGTCCGCACGTTCGCGTCGCGTTGACTTGGGTCGAACGACTCGGGTTTCTGCGGCTTGAGTGCGCTTCGACGTTCCGGCAGCGCTTCCGCGCCAGTCGACGTGTTGGGCGCAAGAGTTGGTGTGGCATGACCATGGGGGTTAGAAGCCAATTCACGAAGCTGTTGCATTTCAGCTCGTACCTGTCGATTTTCCAGCGTCAACTCTTGAAGTTGGCGCATGAGTTCGGCAAGCGTGTTGCCCATGTCGTGGGGGACTGCGTGCATGGTTTTGTCCATGTTCGCTCAACGACTCCAAGTCTGCAAGTCGGCACCGCGGGACGATGACGTCGTAGTCTCGTCGTCGACGGTCGCTCGTTGGAAGTCGCTCCCCGCGAAGGCTCTGATACCAAGTGTTAGGCCCGACGGCCTAAGTCCGCTAAAGAATTAGCGGGGTCGACTAAGTCGAGGATGAAACGCGGCGGAAGACTTTGGCGAAAGAACTATTGGCGAAATAGGCGAAGAAGTTACTGAGTAATTGAAGAAGAGTTGAATGAGAATTGATTGATAATGGCAAGTACAAGCAAGGTTTATATAGCATGCAAGAAACAAGGTTGGAAAGTGGAATGTGGGACCAAGAATTGGAGTGCAAGAAAAGTAGAGTGCCACGTGGTACTAGAGAATCTGAGAAGATAAGGATAATGGTGACTAGGAATGTACTGTTCGGAATGAACAGTATACACCCTCTAACACTAAGGGTGCGTTCCTGTGGAGACACTTGTGTCTCAATCCTTTTGTGACGCGTAAAACCAGCTTATAACGTACAATGTCACAAACGGGTGTCGCCCTTGTGTGACTTTTAATGTATTTTTCATTTGTCAGCGTGAAACGCGTGATGTCGCGGACGAGTTGCGTATCGACCCGTCATTGTCAACAACTCTGTACGCGGTTCGAAATGTCAATGCACCTGGACATTCCACAGTAAAAAACTCCCGCGGGAAAAAGTTCCTCTCGTCAAAACCCCACCCGAACCAGATAGTTGAAGAAGCAGGTGTTCAGTCAAGTTTGAAATCCAATCAAATGAGCACAGCTGTAAATTTCGTCTGGTCGCACAGTTTCGTGATACACTCATTTTTTGTGACGCAAGATTGCAAAAATGTGTAGACGCGACTCGGAAAAGAGGGGATTGAGACACAAGTGTCTCTACAGAAACGCGCCCTTAAGACACTGCACTGCACTGCACGTTCACAGTCGCTACGAACATCTGCCGCTGGGCTGAATCTCTCCTTCGCGCAAGGCTTTTTCATCGCCACAGCAGCACGTGAGTTGGATCTTAGCTGTTCATTCAACTGTTTCTCAGAAATCCAACGGCTCGATGCGCCAGCTTTGGCAGTTCGACGACTGCCGAACCTGTACAAAAGCCTACAGCTGATTGGCAGGAAAAATTGCAAGCCAGACGCCAAATCAGATCAGGGACTACAAATATCACGGGCAGTGCCTCGATACTTCGAAACTCACGATAGAACTACCATTATGGTACACCCTCATTCTCGTTAGACGGGCATATGTTATACTGATCGGGACGCTTAGTGTAGCCGCAGCGGACCAAAGAAGGTCCTATCACATGCGTATACTGACAGTTTGACCCAGGGCGTTTAGTCAAGGTTCTATACGTTCTTAAATGGTAATGCTGTTTTCTAAACGGTAAAGACAGTTATTCAGCGTTAACGGAATTTTACGGCCCAAGTCTGTTTTCGTCGCCTCGTGCGACTTAGCCCGCAACCAAGTTATCTCACCAGCCCGCTACGTCCAAACACTGTATCCACTGCTTCCGCCGGTGAGAAGACTGAGAATAAGGGTGTATCTTTTCTGTATCTCTTGGAAGCCCAATTTAGCACTGATGGCAAAGAGCATTTTCCAACAACGGAAGATAAACACGAAATAATGACTAGGATTGCTGGACACCACTGCTCAAGGGTGTTGTACTTCCTTGCAGCGACAGCTAGTCTCAACTCGTGTTGACTTTTGTACCCACCGCATAATACAAGCCTGCCGCACCACCAGAGCGGACGTGCACCACATACACCTGTTCTCCGATATTTCCACACCCTGAACTTTGATTCTACTCAGACACCCTACATGGTTGAAGGTTTGATGAGACGGACGCCCTGACATTGCGGGTCTATCAGGAAATAGTCACCAGGTCAAGGCCTTTCGAAACTCGAACTTTGTAGTTCGAGTGAGCGGGGAAAATTCCAGTGCCAGATTGTTCCTGCGGTAACCTCGCATTGAGATTGTGTAACATTAACCCTGAAAATTCTTCGAGCGTTGCGAACTACCTTCGAAATCGGTTCTTTCGAGGGTAGGTACCCCAGGTCGTGAAGATAAAGGGTGTGGAATTATCGCGGAACATGTGTACCTGTGCGTGAGAGAAGCATTGCACCTGAAAAAAAAAAACTGATCCGCTAACGGAAGTGTACAGAGGCACGTAGACTTTAGTGTACAGAACACCAGCTGACGAATCTGCAGGTCAATCCAGGCGCATCTGCACCTCTACCTGACACGAGTGAGCCATTCAAACCACCTGAAGAATGCGTGCTGACACTAAACATTTGAGAATTTCGAGCCCGCTCACCCTAATCGCGATACTAGTCCCAAAACGGAATGAAGAGGTAGGAGACTATTGTTGAAAGATGTAGATGTTTTTTCGGAGACCTCATATCAGGTACTCATCTGTCGTGTTTACAATTGTACTCAAAACACGTTCGCAGTGCTTCTTCGCCACCTGGCGTGAGCTCACGACATATTTTTCAATCCCTAGTGGGGGTTTTGCTTAGTTTCCCTAGCTGAGATAAATCAAAGGCTGAACACGGTTAGGTGTGAAGATTTAAAACTTTCTGAGGTGCAGTACGGTGGTCGTTTGAACGACCCAGTGCACCACTCCCTGAGGAAACCGCCGTTGGCTGAGCGTGGGAGCCTATCTGTTATGAACGAAACGTAACTTTGAAAACGTGGCAATTAGTGTACAATCTTCTCGCCAGAGACTATAAATACGCCGCAATTCCAGTCTTCCAAATTTAGGGTTCTCATGCCGTGGATAAATACCTTCAGATGGATACAAACTCGGAGCTGTAGCAGGCTGCGTTGTACCACATGGCGAGCCGCCATTCGCCTACTGCCGCGTGTCCCGACAACCGAGGCCACGTGACGACAGAATCCACCAGCCGCACTTCCTGCCGACATGGCTTTCTCAGGACCATCTGGGCGATTATCCGATGATTTTGGAGGCCTGGAATTTTGTGACGTCCTAGGTCCCTGACAGCCGTCCGAAGGGTCGCGTCGCATGGCATTACTCAGGAAAACTGGACGGGGCGAGTGGGAATGGGGAGGAGAGGATTCCCGACGGAAGAAGGAGAAGGGGGAACCCCTGGGGGAGATCTCTTTTGTCGCTTCCCACCTGGCGCGCGGCCCATAAGCAGATTTGAAAGGGGAACCCAGTGAATTTCGCCGGCTTCTACTATCCCTGCCGCACCACCTGCCCCACCACCTGCCCCGACCTGCCCCCCCTGCCCCAGCGATCAGGGCCAATCCTGCCCCTACCCGACGCGCCAGTGGCCTGCCCCCGATCAGCACTTCCTAGTAGAGTCCCTGTGCAGGTTACGGCGAGCAGAGGGATCTAGTAGATGTGACATCCAGGTTACGATCATGTCACATCCAGTAGTACCCACGTCTGCGAGACGTGACAATATCACTTCTCCTCACGCTCCTCACGCTTTTTGTGGCACAAGCAACTCCTCACGCTCTCGCTCCCCTCTCCTCCCACCGGCGCAGCTGCTGCCGCCGCTGCTGGACCTGATTTGAAGGCACTTTGCCTCTGCTATTCGGCCGTCGGGTGGTATAAGCGTCTGCTGCTCACCACGGTATCATCCGCCGCTCCGCCTCCTCCGTCGTCCCTTCTCCGCTACCCCCTACTCCGCCGCCGTTCTCCGCCGCCCCTTCCTCCGCCGCCCCCTCCTCCGCCGCCCCTTCTCCGCCGCCCGTCATGTCGCGCCGGGGCTTCACGCCAGTTGCGCTGTCGCCAGCGGCGGGTCTCGTTGCGCTGCTGCTCGTCGCAGCGGCAGCTGGCGGAGTGCGCGGATCAAGCGGGAATGCGGCGCTACCCCGCAAGCTGGCCGCGGGCGGAAGCGGAAACAGTAATGCCGCGGCGGACCCCGCCGCGGCGGAGCTAGTGAAGAATTCCGCCCATGCTTCCGGCGCGGAAGGGGACGGGCTTGTAGTGAAGGATTCCGCGCCTTCCGCCAGCGGTGAGGCGGAGGCGGAGGCGCAGATTCCGCCGCTGCAGCTGATAATTGCGGAAGAAGGGCGCGCGGAGGGCGCAGTGTGCTTGGACGGATCGGCCCCTGGGTTCTACTATCGGAAGGGCTACGGCTTGGGACGCAACAACTGGGTGCTGTTCTTCGAGGTGTGACTATAACGAACGACTTCCGTCTTCCTCCTTTTCTTCAATTGTCACTGATTCTCTCTTACCCTCCGCCTCCCATGTTTGCCCTCCATCCCCTGCTTGCTTACCTCTACTGTTTTTCGTACCCTCCCTTATCTATCTTCCATTCCGCCCCCCTTCCCCTCCCCCCACCCCTCTCCGCTTCCCCTTGACTCTCCCCTTCCGCCCGCATTTCAGGGCGGCGCGTGGTGCGCGACTCCCCACGGCTGCGCGTACAGGGCGCACACGCGCCTGGGGTCGACGGACCACGCGCTTTCAGTGGCGGAAATGGTGAATGTGCAGAGCGGCAGCATGAACGGCATGCTCAGTGCCAATAAGACCGTCAACCCTGGTGAGGCTCAGCCAGAGCTGCTACACCGCACCACACCGCACCGCACTGCACCTCACTGCACCGTCAGGACGCTGGTGCTGGTGAGCATGACTTGACACCCTCTTCTGGAGAGCAGCTTAAACATATTGACGTCCACCGCTGGATTTTTTCAGCGCAGCATGGCAGCACAGCAACACAGCAGCACAGCAACGCCGTCGCCTGTTAACCTTCCGCTCCGCGGCCACCTCTCTTCACCTCCCGTGCTGACACCGCCTCACATCCACCCCTGTTTCCTCCATCCCCCCACCAGGCTTCTACAACTGGAACGCCGTCTATTTCATCTACTGCGATGGCGGCTCCTTCTCAGGCCACCAAGACGAGCCCGTTCTCTTCAATGTCAGTCAGCTGCCCCTCTGCCTCTCCGCCTCTCCGCCTCTCCCTATCCCCCTCTTTACATCTCCGCCTCTCTCTCTCTCCCCCTCTCCGCCTTTCCGCCTGCTAAACCCTCTCCCTAATTCTTTTTCGCATTCCCTCTCTCTCCGCCTCGCCACCTCTCCGCTTCTGGCCGTGCTGTTTCTTCCTTCTCATTCCCCCCTCCCCGAGTCCACCTCCCTCCCAACCCAAGGCATTCCCCACCCCAGTACTTTCGGGAAAATCTAGACTCAATTTCATCATTTTATCCCTCCTGTTCCGTTCCCCTTCTTCCCCTTCCCCCAGGGCATTCCGCTGTACGTGCGGGGAAGGCGAGTGGCGGACCTGCTGCTGAAGCACCTCGTGGAGAAGAAGGGGCTTGGCCACGCGGAGAAGGTGAGGTGGGCGGATGAGAGGGGGGCGGATGAGAGGGGGGCGGATGAGAGGGGGGCGGATGAGAGGGGGGGGATGAGAGGGGGGGGATGAGAGTGGGGGGATGAGAGAGGGGGAGATGAGAGGGGGGAGCGTGAGAGCAGGCGCACAGGGAGTGGAGGGGGAGGGGAAAGCCCGGGGTTTTCGATTGAAACGCCTCATGGGTTTCTCTGCCCTCCTTGGATTCCCACTGGGGTGGGGTCCTGAGATGAAAATCCATCCTTTCTCCCTTCCCTCCTCGCTGCCTCATCTTGCCTCTTTCCTCAGCCTCAGGTAGCTGTAGCGTGCTGCTCTCCTGCCAGCTCACCTGCCTGCTCACCTGCCTGCTCACCTGCCTGCTCACCTGCCTGCTCTCCTGCCTGCTCTCTTGCCTGCTCTCCTGCCTGCTCACCTGCCTGTAGCGCAGCGATCAGCTGAGGCCGACTCTGTCCTTCCTTCATGGCAGGAATTGTGTTGTGTTTTGAGTCGACTCAAAACACGACTCATTACAAGAGGCTGACTCTGTCCTTCCTTCATGGCAGGAATTGTGTTGTGTTTTGAGTCGACTCAAAACACGACTCATTACAAGAGGCTGACTCTGTCCTTCCTTCATGGCAGGGATTGTGTTGTGTTTTGAGTCGACTCAAAACACGACTCATTACAAGAGGCTGACTCTGCCCTTCCTTCATGGCAGGAATTCCACTGGAAGCTGCTGGAATCTAATTCTTCCCCCTTTCGTCCCCGCTTGTCTTGTCTGTGACTCGCTTCCTTCCCCCCTTTCCCTTCCTTCGACCCTGCGTGTCCCTCCCACCCGTTAAACCGAGCAGGTGGTGGTGTCGGGGTCCTCAGCGGGAGGGGTGGCGGCGCTGCTGCACTGCGATCGAGTGAGGGACACTCTCACAGCCGCCTCTCCCTCCATGCACGTCCGCTGCCTTGCTGATGCCTCCATGTTCCTCGACGTGTAAGACTCCTCTTCACCCGTCTTCACTCCCTTTCACTCTTAATCACTCTTCTCTCACTCCTATTCACTCCTCTTTCACTCCTATGGGCTGAATTGTAAGAGCCCATTGACTTGTGTTGACTTGTTTATTTTTTTTAGTACAAATATTGAAGGTGTTTTTTTTTTCTAAACCCCAGACCCATGTCGGTGCATGCGTGTGTGTATCTCTTTCCCTCCCTCTCCCCCCATGTGCAGACCAGATGTCAACAACACCAGAAGGGTTGCCAATTTCTTTGCTGAAGTGCACGACATGCATGTGAGCAAGTTGGGGCATGCATGTGAGCAAGTTAGGATATGCATGTGAGCAAGTTAGGATATACATGTGAGCAAGTTAGGATATACATGTGAGCAAGTTTGGATATGCATGTGAGCAAGTTAGGTTATACATGTGAGCAAGTTAGGATATGCATGTGAGCAAGTTAGGATATACATGTGAGCAAGTTTGGATATGCATGTGAGCAAGTTAGGTTATACATGTGAGCAAGTTAGGATATGCATGTGAGCAAGCCAGGACATGTATGCATGTGAGCAAGCCAGGAGATGCAATTTCACACCTACCATACCTGCCATCCTTCTCTCTTCTCTCTCCCTTCCGCTTTCTCTCCTCCCTTTCCCTCCTCCCTGTTCTCTCCTTCCCTCTCCCCCATGGCTCCACCCGTCCAGAATCTGACTGGCAACCTTCCGCCAGCATGTCTCAAGGAGCGAGAGCCAGAGAAACACCATGAGGTGCGCGGCGCGTGCCAAGCCAATGCTGCCTTGCACGCACTGAGTCTGCCATCCCACCTCGCATGCTCTCTTCTCTTCCACGCCATGCCATCCCACCTCGCGTGCTCTCTTCTCTTCCACGCCATGCCATCCCACCTCGCGTGCTCTCTTCTCTTCCACGCCATGCCATCCCGCCATTGCCGTGAGCCAACGTGCTAAATCCATCCCCTCAACAAGCACCCCCCCTCTCACTTGACTCCTGCTCTTCCTTCCGTAGTTGCCCTTATCACCGCTCTTCACTCCTCTTCAATCCTCTTCACCATTGCCAGATTCCGGCCCACTCTTCCCTCCTCACCAATACAGTGTTTCATGGCCAATCAACTGCTGAAATACGTCTCCACGCCTCTCTTCCTCATTAACAGCAATTATGACAAGATAGCGGTATGTTGACAAGTGTGTTGCTCGTGTCGTTTGATTATTTATACGATTTTTAGTCAATTGCCAAAGTTGATACTATAATTGTTTTATCATTATTTTTATTGCCAAGATTGGTACAATGTATTAACATAATCTGTTTGTTATACCAAGAACTCATCCCGACCTCTTTGCGACTAGTGTGGCATGAGATGGACTGAAACAGGAAGGTCTCACGTCACAGTGCTGCATCACTCTTGAGCTCGCACCCACTGTCACACCAGAGTGCTAGCACCATCTCTTCAACATTTTCTCTTTCGTCTCTTGACGTTTTCCTTTCTCACATCTTCACCCTTTTCCCTAACAACTCTATTTAGATTTTTTTTTCTCTCTCTATCATACCTTGAGCCGTTACTCTCTCATCATACGTTTTCCTCTCTGACTCTGACCCTTGCACTCTCGTTTGTGCCTTGACGTGCAGATGAGGGCCATTGCAGCACCGCAGGTGTTGGATTCGGGAACAAGGGCCCCTCCAGACTGCTTCAACCACCTCAGCAAGTGCACCGCTGCTGAGAATCGAGTTATCGAGGGTATGTGAGTGTGGGTGAGCGAGTGCGTTTGACAATGGGAGGGAGTGTAAAGCGTATTTTTTTCTAAAAGGAGCTTTTGATTGCACTTGCACAGCTCTACTCTCCTTGCCTTACTCTCCTTGCCTTACTCTCCTTGCCTTACTCTCCTTGCCTTACTCTCCTTGCCTTACCCTCCTTGCCTTACCCTCCTTGCCTTACCCTCCTTGCCTTACCCTCCTTGCCTTACCCTCCTTGCCTTACCCCCCTTGCCTTACCCTCCTTGCCTATTCTTACGTTGCCTTCCTCGCGCCTTACCTTGCCTTCAATTTCTTTCCCACCCGCCTTGCCTTGCCTTGCCTCACTCGGTTTTCCCCACCTTGCCTAACCTTGCTTCAATGGCCTCACCTTGCCTCTCCTCGCCTAACATTACCTCACCTTTCACCTCTCCTGGGTTTCAGACTACCGCAAGGCAGTGGCATCAGCAGCGGCTCCTCTCCTCCACACCGACCCACCATCATCCACCACTTCATCACCATCTCAACCGCACTCCACACCTGCCAACGCCGTCTTCCTCTTCTCCTGCTTCCAGCATGGCTCCATTCACTTTGACATGCCGTGGACTGTGCGCACGGCGAAAGGGGTGGTGAGTTACCAGCTAGGTTGCATGTAACATAGGGTGGCGCGTTAGATGCAGGGTTCTGTGTAACGGGGTTTCCTTACCTCTATCCACTCGGACATGCCGCGGAATGTGCGCACGGCAAAAGGGGTGGTACGTATCAGCAGAGTTCCATGTCCTGCTACCGTAGCACATCCAACATTTTAGTTATCTTCAAGACGTTCCGAAACAGCGCTACCAACCGAGTGAGTGCATGTGCATGCTCTTCTGTCCCTTGGTTCCGTCAGTGCTGCCTGTACCAGTTTATGTGCTATGCACAGCGAAGGGACATGTGTGTGCGTGTGCGCGCGCGTGCGTGCGTCCGTGTGTATGTGTGAGCATGCATGGGTGTGCATGCATGGGTGTGCATGCATGGGTGTGCATGCATGGGTGTGCATGCATGGGTGTGCATGCATGGGTGTGCATGCATGGGTGTGCATGCATGGGTGTGCATGCATGGGTGTGCATGCATGGGTGTGCATGCATGGGTGTGCATGCATGGGTGTGCATGCATGGGTGTGCATGCATGGGTGAGCATGCATGGGTGTGCATGCATGGGTGTGCATGCATGGGTGTGCATGCATGGGTGAGCATGCATGGGTGTGCATGCATGGGTGTTTAACCAATCTGGCCTGGAACCTTTCCTGCTCTCCCATCAATCCAACGGCAGCCGATGTACAAAGCTGTGGACCGTTGGATGCACCCCGACAACAGCGACAAGATTCATCTCATCGAGGGAGGATATCCGTGCAACTCGTGCGCCATGAAGGAATAATGCATCGGAAAAGCATTTCTTCTGTTCAAGTGCATTACAGCCCAGGTGCTCTCAGCTTTGGCCGTGCAAATGCTGAATAAGGCCCACAGGTTTGGAATAAGGCCAGGAGGGGGGGCGGGGCGGGGGGTAGTTACTCCTGTATTATGTAACAAAGTACTCGGCTAGGACCATATTTGATTACATGGTTTGATTCAGATTTGTTTTTTTTTTTCCCTTGGTATGGCTGCTTTATTGTAAGTCATTCATGCATGGGCATCACTTACATTCCTTGCCCTCCACTGCAACAAGTACTACGTAATAGCACAAGCAGAGGATGCATGCATGCACAGTACAAGTGCCGTACTAGCACACTGCAGTTACTGACACATATACATAGATCCGTCCCACTTGGCATTTCGCAGATTCCACTCGGCAATCTTTGTGTCCTTCTCGGTTCTAATGAGACACACGCGAACTCTATTCTTCATGACTTCCTGCAAGTAAATCAGGCATCTGCTTCAAAAGAAGCACAAGCCTCTCTTGCGCACGGGCGCTTCCCCCTACACCCTTGGGAAAGCCATGTTTCATCAACAGCACGCCCAATGGCTTCCGAGTCTTCAAGGTTAGCTGTGTTGGGCTGAAAAATAGCCCTTAGGATCTTTGCAGAGGAGAACTCTTGGGTAGAAACTTGTAATAGCGGAAGCGTTTTAATGAGGATTGTGAACCGACCTTGCACTGGTGTGTGAGAGCAAAGTAGATTAAATTAAACAAGCAAATACAAGGATTTATATAAGAGTACAGGGAATACGAATAGATAGATAGATAACTGTATTGCTGTTGCGGTTCGATATAGTGCGACTCGGGCAACTGCTCTATAACGAGTCAGTTGTGTGTCCTTAACTGTCGCGCTGTAATTGTCGAGTCAAAGGTCAGCGACCTTTGACTTTCTCGTAACCTCCAGGCGGTTACCCTAACCTCCGAGGTTGACTCGATGCTTCGATTGGGACTGCTTCGCTTGATGCCTTGGATTTTGATACGACAGAAGCGCACTTAGGACTTATTGTTTCCAACACTCCCCTTCGCTTCTGGAGTGTCGTTGCTGGTGACGTGGCCTTGTCCAGTCAGCATCATGCAGTATTCGAACTTCTGCTTTCCGAGTTTCTTGGTCAAGTAATCGGCTGCCATCTCGGATGTTGGACAGTATGACAGATCGAGTTTCCCTTTTTCTATCTCGTCCTTCACGAAGAAATAGCGCAGGGCGATGTGTTTCGTCCTGTTTGCGAAGCCGTTTTTGTTGGCGATGCGAATTGCCGACTGGTTGTCGCAGAACACGGTGAAGCTGGGTAACTCGGCTAGCTTCGCTTCTTCCAGTAGTTCGCGAAGGTAAAGTCCCTCCTTGGTGGCTGAGCAGAGTGCAATATATTCTGCTTCTGCTGAAGATAGTGCGATTAACTCCTGCTTGCTCGACTGCCAGGAGATAGGACCGATAGGCTCAAGGCGGTAGACATAGCCGGTGCATGAGCGCCTGTTGTCGGTGTCGCCGGCGTGATCGGCGTCGACGTAGCCGATTAGCTTGGTCGGTGTAGTCACGTTTTTGTGATAAGTTAGTCCGATCGTTGCGGTGCTGACGAAGTAGTGGAGAGCACGATCGAGTTCCGCCAGATGCTCTGCTTCAGGTCTCTTGAGATAGGTAGCGAGCTGACTCGCGGAGTAGGATAGGTCGGGACGGCATGTGACTGCTGCGAAAAGAAGGCATCCAAGCTTCTTCTGATAGTCGCGTATGCCGGCGGGTTTAAGTAGAGTAGATTGCCCCTTTTCGGTTCCTGACGCGTAGCGATAAGGCGTGGAGATGGCGCTTGGTGTGAGACGAAAGCGTTTCGCGATAGTGTCGGCGTACTTCTCGGCGCTTAGGTAGATTGCGTTTTCTTCCTCACGGATGTTGAGCCCGAGGTATTGCGTAACCGTAGAAGAGACCGTGAGCGTGAGGTCTTTCTGGAGCTCCCCTTCGAACCACGTGGTGATGTCGTCGGTTGACCCAATGTAGAGGAGATCGTCCACATAGACGATTAGTAGGACGTAATCGCCTCTTTTTGTGAGGCGATACATGCCCTGGTCATGCGGGAGTTGTTTGAAGCCGATGCGGATGAGGCGGGCGTGTAGGTACTGCTGCCACAGTCGCGGTGCCTGCTTGATCCCATAGAGTGATTTGAGTAGTTGACACACTCGGTTGGGTTCGCCGTGGGAGCCGTGCGGGAGTTCGACGAAGATTTCTGCATCCACAGGTGCGTAGAGAAATGCGTTCGCAACGTCGATTTGTCGCAATTTCTTTTTCTTCATGGCGGCGACGGCGATGAGAATTCGGAGTGAGGTGTGGCGACTGACCGGAGCGAAGGTTTCGGTGTAATCTCTTCCGTGCTCCTGGTCGAAGCCACGTACGACCCAACGGGCTTTGAATTTGTCGATGGTGCCATCAGCTTTCGTCTTCACACGGAAGACCCATTTCCCGGTAAGAATGTTTTTATTTTGAGTTACGCCGATGGGAACAATTTTCCAGGTGTTGCGCTCCTCCAGTGCCTTCAGCTCTTTGTCCATAGCTTCACGCCATTTCTCCCTGTGTTCCCCCCCCAGAGCCTGCTGAATCGTCGCAGGCTCCTTAGGAATGCCGGCGCCATGGACTGCGGTGACGAGACCAAGGATTTGCAGCCCAGTCTGTGAGTATCGAGGGAGTTCTGGATCCTCGGGATAAGCTGCTTCGTCTCCCGTTTCTGGGTCGGGCATGAAATTTGGCCCTACCCTTTCTGCTTCGTTGGTGTTGACTGTCACAGGTGTTACGTAACCATCGTCGGCGAAACGGTAGAAGATTTTGGCGTTGTTACTGTCGCGAGGATTATCCTCATCCATGGGCACGTCGACGGAGCAGTATGGGAGAGGTCCGGCTTCTTCCGAGGCGTTGTCGACGTTCTGTTCATCCCAGTCTGCTTCGTCCGCTGCTGACGCGAAGGCTCGGTCACCACGAAAACCACTGGTGAGGTCCCGATTCTCGTGCAAGTTGGCGAGGTACGTCTGAAGGGTGAGTCTTTCGTAGAAGATCACGTCACGTGCTGCTACTGTTTCCTTTGTGTGGACGTCGAAGATTCTCCATGCGTTGTAATTTTTCTCGATGCCGAGGTGTAGTCCCCACTGTGCCCGTTGCGAAAATCTTCCCGCTCGTGCTTCTGGGGGTCTGTACTGTACCATGCACCCGAAAACTCGTAACATTTTCGTGCTGCCCTGCTTCCCTGTCCACAGCAGATGCGGTGATGCGTTGTTCGGGAGTGACGACGACGACAACAAGTTGTGCAGCATGACAGCGTGGTCCATGTCAGATTTATATGACATAGTTGCTGTAGGCTATAGTGGGGTAGCACATATGGGGTACAGGGTTTCTAGGGTTGTATTTGTACCCAATCTTTCCTTAGTCATTCTCATTCCTCTTTTCCTTGCTTCACATGGTATAGAGCGGGTCCAGCCTTAGGACCGTTTTTTTTTAGGGCCCACCGAAGCGCGCCCCGAGGCGCGCCCTTTTTTTTAGCGACCCCCTCGGGTCGCCTTTTCCCTCGCGGCCCCGCTGTCCCTCAGACGCGGCCCCGCCACCTCTCCTGATCGCGGCCCCGCCGCCTGTTTGACGCTGCCCCGCCGCCTCCCCTGACGCGGCCCCGCCACCTCCCCTGACGCGGCTCCGCCGCCTCCCCTGACGCGGCCCCGCCGCCTCCCCTGACGCGGCTCCGCCGCCTCCCCTGACGCGGCCCCGCCGCCTGTTTGACGCGGCCCCGCCGCCTCCCCTGATGCGGCCCTGCCGCCTCCCCTGACGCGGCTCCCCCGCCTCCCCTGACGCGGCACCGCCGCCTCCCCTGACGCGGCTCCGCCGCCTCCCCTGACGCGGCCCTGCCGCCTCCCCTGACGCGGCTCCGCCGCCTCCCCTGACGCGGCCCTGCCGCCTCCCCTGACGCGGCTCCGCCGCCTCCCCTCCCGGCCCGCCGCTGCTCCTGCCGGCCCGCCACTGCACCTGCCGGCCCGCCACTGCACCCTACGGCCCGCCACTGCACCCTACGGCCCGCCGCCTGCACCTGCCGGCCCGCCGCTGCACCTGCCGGCCCGCCGCTGCACCTGCCGGCCCGCCGCTGCACCTGCCGGCCCGCCACTGCACCGGTCAACCCGCCGTTGCACCTGACGGCCCCGCCCCTGCATCTCCTGGCCGAGCCGCCCCAGCAGCCGAACCGCC